CCTAAAAAGCCTTCAAGGGGAAGAAATCGTCGTTTTCAGATCACTTACACAAAAGATCTGTCTTTGATGACAGAAGAGGAAAAGGCTGAACAACTGCGAATCGAGCAAGAAGAAGCTGCCAAAGCCGTCAAGAAGAAGGTGATCAAAGACGGGCACAGTGAAAAGGTGCTTACTCTCATTCAAAGCTTACCTGTCACTTTCTCAAAAACTAGCTGGGTGGGACTCAGAATCGCTCGTTGCAGGCTGCCCCAGTACTCATACCACAAAGGGTTGTCCCTGCAGAAGAAATGGTGCCTCTTGATGAGAGTGGGGTGATTCCAGAGGAGGAAATCTGTGAGTTGGAGCCAAAACCATGTGAAGAAGAGAAGGTAACCATGTTGTTCCTGAAATCCTCATACATAAAGTGGAGTTCAAGATTTTTGCCCACTTTACTTGTAGGGAACGCCTGAAGTGATTGTCGTACCTACGTATGTACGGCCATTGACTGAAAAAGTTGAAGAGGTACTCCAGTAGGTACATAAACGAGTCCGAACCTACGAACCACTTGGTTTTCAGGAATCGGCGAGTCGTTTCGCTGACAAAAAGGTGCCGACCGATTTCGCTCATAAACATGTCATTCAACCTCCTAAGCTACAAACTGCTGCTGTACAGAAAGTTGAAACGAAGATCGCACCAGTGTGAGTGAAACATTTTATCATGGAGGGTTTGTGGTAAACTTTTGGAGAAAAAGGTTTTAGTTTTAGAAAACACTGAAAAAAACAGAAAATTATTATTAACGTCGAGTGACCGTACCTGAGCATTTCTAAGACTTCTCTTTTGTTCCAATTTCTGATAACATGTAACATTACATCCGAATACTTAAGCCTATGGATGGGAATGTACATCCAAGTCGTTTCCTGTGCAAATGTGACAGATCCTTTCCAGACTTCACAGGATTGGGGTTTTCACTTTTGTAAATGGCTATTTTTTTGGGAGGACTTGAAGGTACAGTTCACGATAATTTTGAGGTACCAGGTTTTATTCGAAAAGCGGGAGTATAGATTGGGAATAGTTCATCGGTAGTGAAGAAAGCGAGAAAATCCACCGATTCCAAGAAAAATATGGCTCCTCAAACGTAGGGAAAATAGAGGTTGGACGAGATTACATGGTGAAAATAACATG